CAGCGTGGAGTCTGCTTCGGATTCTCTCTCTCTCTCCCTCTGCCCATCCTCCCACTCACATGTGCGCTTTCTCTTTCTCTCTCTTTTTCTCTCTCTCTCTCTCAAATCTTTAAAAAAAAGAAGAAGAAGAAAAGAAGTAAAGCAGGAAAAAGACAAGGACTAGACATTAGGTTTGGTCTTTGTCATAGACAAGAGAGTTGAGTTCTGAGTTAGGATGGTTTTGGAGGGAAGGGAGAGGGTAGTATAGGCCCTAAGCATGTATAGGAGGAGGTCAGTCACATTTGATTCTTCTCACAGCCAGTGAGTTGATATTTGACTCCCTACAGGTGCAGGACTCCCTTCAAATTAATCATTTTAAAAAAAAAAGAATTTTTATTTTTCTTTTCTGGTGTAAATTGAGATTCTAATAGAGGGGCACATTGAGAATTACTTTCCTTTCTTAGTGGTTTGGTCTTGAGTCATATAAATTCTCTTTCTTGATAGGTGGTGGTTGTGTTTATGTTTAACATGAGGTTCCAATATATTTTGGCCTTTAAAAAAGTTAACCTTTTGAACTTGGAAAGAACTTTCATAGAACTAATAATATCTCTTTCAGGAGACAGGGATCTAAAGGCAATTTCCTTTGTCATTTTGTTCAGCGGTATGTACTCTTCCCCCTTTCAAAGTAGTAAAAAAATTCTGTACTGTTTCTTGCTTATTCAGCATATATTGAGTGTTCATTTGACTCAAAATATGTATTAGCCAGTGATTGTAACTGTGTATTTCTGGTGTTTATATAATCTGAATGTAAAGCCTTTGTTTAACTCAGCATTGAATTTTAAGTGGCATAGGGATGTAAGATGAAAATTGATTCTTCTTTTAAAGGTTCTGCCTAACCTAAAGCAGATGCTTTCTAAATGTACCTGACTAGCTGGTACTTGTGTTTCTGGTAGGAAATTCTTCCTGGCATTTCTTCAGAAATCTGCATGTTTTTCTAAATCTCAAGAGGTACCAGTCAAGAAGTCAAGAAAGTGGGGGGAAATGTTACATAATTCTTCTGTGAGAATTAAAGCTTAACATTCAGCATAGTCATTATTGGGTGAAGGAATCCACCGATTACACATCAAGAGCAAGCACAGGAAACACTGACATAGGAAGTATGTCCTGAGGACCAGGCATGAAGTTTATAGAGGGGAGCAGTCATGGTCTGAGCAGTCAGTCTTGGGTATGGGTTTTTTGTTTTTGTTTTTGTTTTTAAGATTTTATTTATTTATTTGACAGAGATCACAAGCAGGCTGAGAGGCAGACAGAGAGGGGGCTCCCGGTTGAGCAGAGAGCCAGATGCAGGGCTCGATCCCAGGACCCTGAGATTATGACCTGAGCTGAAGGCAGAGACTTAACCCACTGAGACACCCAGGCGCCCCTTGGGTATAGCTTTTGCCCTATCTGCTAATGGGGAGTTATTCTTGCAAACAAAATAAATATTAATAAATTTACATACATAGTACACTTTATACAAACCCTAGTAAATGACGCTTTTTTTTTTTTCAAGAAATAAATTTTCTAAGCAAAGTAAATCATTAAATTGGCAGTATGACACATGCTTCTATGTTGCGTTGTTAACTTTTCTGAGAGAAGCTAAAGTTACTTTGTTGGAGTACTAATAATGTTTGCTGGCTTTTTCTAGTATTTGAATATTCACTATAGGCTACAATTCTTTGTAATAAGTGCTTTAGTGGAAGAAATATAAAGAGAAGATTTGAATGTTGTGGGATACTCTGACATAGAGTCATAAATTGATCTAAAATCGGAATTAATAAAAGCAGTATCTATTTCAATGGTAAAACCAAATTCTGGACAATCAAGCAAAATACCTTCATTATTAAAAAGAAGAAATAAAGTTATCTTAAGCAATATGAACCCTAACATCCAATCTGGAGGTGTTTTGGGAAATACTTTTAACAGTTGGACCAACCAGTTGTTAGCAATGCAGAATTAAAGCTTTCTCTGTCTGGGGTCAGGTTTATCAGGGTAACTTTAAAATTTCTCTGTTTAGAATAACTATTAAATGTTAAATATATATGTGGCGTTTCAGTATTTTAAATGATTTTCATTTGGAATTTATTTTGTTTCAGGGTACCCTTTTAATGTTTTCTGTTATCAAATGCCAGATAAAAATCACAGTCACGTTTTACTGAAATATGAATCTTGTTACAATATATTGATTCATAGTTATGATAAACCAAGTATTATCATATCTTTTTGTAACAAACGTTAAAGTGTTTCAAAGTTTTAGTGTAACCCTAATAATCATTACTGTTGATTGTCATGATATCATGCATTATTCTTTTTTTTAATCAGCTTAATTGAGGTAAATTCACATACCATACAATTCATCTGTGTAAAGTGTATAATTCATTATGTTTTAGTACATTCACAAGGTTGTACAACCATCATCACAATCTATTTTTAAATTTTTGTCCCTCCTAAAGAAACCCCATACCCATTAGCAGTCAATCCCTATTCCCCCAGTTTTCCTCCCCAGCCATGAGAACCATTAATACTTTCTGTCTCTATAAATTTGCTTACTCCAAACCTTTTATATAAATGTGGATTCATAAGTATGTGGTCTTTTGTGACTGGCTTCTTTCATTTAGTATGATTTTGAGGTTCATTCATATTGTAGCATATATCATTAATTCATTTCTTCTTATTGCTCAGTAATATCCCATCGTATGAATATGCCTCACTTTATTTCCCTCTTCATCAGATAATGGGCTTATGGGTTTTTCACATTTTGGCTATTAAGAATAATGCTGCTGTGAACATGGATGTTAAGTTTTGCATGAATGTACACTTCCATTTCTCTTGGTTATATACCAGGAATGGATGTGCTGCATCATATATTAACTTTTTTAAGGAACTGCCAAACTATTTTTTCAAAGTGGCTGTACCATTTTACTTCCCTCTAGCAAGGTACAAGTATTTGTTTCTCTACATCCTCTCCAGTACTTGTCTCCTTGTTTGATTAGCCATCTAGTGAGTGTGAAGTGGCATCTCATTGTGGTTTTGACTTTCATTTCCCTCATGGTTAATGACGTTGAGCCTGTTTTCATGTGCTTATTGGATATTTGCATATCTTCTATGGAGAAATGTCCAATTTTAAATTGAGTTCCTTATGAGATACCTAACTCGCATATATTTTCTCCCATTCTGTGAATTCTTTTCACTTACTCGATGATGTCCTTTGAAGCACAAAAATTTTAATGTTCTTGTAGTCCCATTAATTTTTTTCCCCCTTCGGTACTTGTACATTTGCTTTCCGTTTTTAAACCATTGCCTAAGTCAAGGTCACAAAGATTCTCTTACATTTAGGTCTGTGACTCATTTTGAGTTAATCATTGTTAAGTTTTGTGTTATTCTTTTTAAGAAAAAAAAACATTAAAATGGTGTTATAAAAGTATGACAGAAGTGTTATGGTTTCAGGGAAGGATTCTGATAAACGTGCTTTCTCATTCCTAAATCCTGAAGATTAATATATTTTGGGAATTGAGGAGCATTAGTTAGTGCCTACCCTTCTGTGCATGATAGTAAAGGCTTGTAGGTAGTTTACTCTTTTGAACAGATGGTGGCAGCAGAGCTTTGATGAATGAAAATTCTCATTTTTCTAAACAGTATTTTATAATTATGAATCTTAACTTTTTGGCAGTTAGGCTGTTAAGCACTAAGTTTAAATTTACTTTTAAGATTAAAAACTATCTAAATTTAGAGTTGTTTTTGTCTTCATTTTGCCATGAGTTTATTTAGGTTTTTAGTTGATGAAGCCAGTTTGTGAAGTATGGACATGATTTGCTAGCAGTCTCCAACCTTGGGACACGGTTTTCTCATATTACTCTAATATGTTTTATTTACCTTTTTTTTTTTTTTAGATTTTATTTATTTATTTGACAGAGATCACAAGTAGGCAGAGAGAGGAGGAAGCAGGCTTCCCACTGAGCAGAGAGTCCGATGCGGGGCTCGATCCCAGGACTCTGGGATCATGACCTGAGCCGCAGGCAGAGGCCTTAACCCACTGAGCCACCAGGCGCCGCTTTTTTTTTTTTTTTTTTTTAATCTCACTTTTACCCCCATGATCTTTGTGTGGACATAAAATAACAGAGAAGTAGTCAAAATGTTGATTAACGCTAAAGCTATTCTCAAACTTAGTCCTGAAATACATTGGAGGACTTGTGTTCTGATTTAGAAGACAAGTAATTTGGAAGCTAGACATGTGGGTAATATTTTTTTCCTTCAATAATAAAACTGCTTACATCATCTCAAGATTGGGCCTGAGATTTCCTTTTTAGTTCTGAATATTAAACAGTAAAATTAGGTGATGCAGGTATTCCTTGACAATTGTTTCCAGGATAATAGAAATAGCAAACACTTGTGGAGCACTTAGGGTCTGCCAGGTGCTGTACTAAATGCTGTGTATGCATTTGCCTTCTTTTGTTCTCATAACAGCTCTAAGTGGTATTATTTTTGCCCTGAATTTTTCAGAGAAAGAGATGGGTTTTGAGAAATTAATTTGCCTAACTTCACACTATTAGATGGAGAAGTGTGTGGGTATGTTCATAAGTAACTATATTGTACTGTCTTAAGTGTGTGTTTTTATAGGGGTGGTATGGTACTATGTGTATCACTCTGCAACTAATTTTTTAAATTCAACAGTCTCATTCAAAGATCTGTAACTTTTGCTACTATCTATAGATGTCTGGTCAGTTTGTTTACCTCATGAATACATACTACTTTCTGCTTGATTTCGCTGGGAAGAAACAGTTTGTCCTGGAATTTCACCTAATTTTGGCTTTACTTCACTTTTCCACTAGAGGGTGTATTAAGTGTTTGACGTAATTTTTTTTTCTGTTTCCAAAATTATAAATAGTAATGGAGTAGTTTGTTATTTCTTGGTATTATAATCAGAATAATTTTATTGTGTATAACTGGTGTAATAGTCTCCCTGTTTTATTTTTATACTGCAGGTTACTCATTTTTGGATCCTATGACAGAGAGGCAAATATTCATTGTACACTCGAGTTGAGCAGTGGTGTTTGGGAAGAAAAACAAAGGAGTTCTATTAAGACGGTACAGTAGATTTGCATAGTTTTACATCTTTCTAAAGTTTTGCATTCTATAAACGTACCTTTAATGTTTCTATATATATAGAGTTATTTTTATTCATGTACAAACAATTGTGAACAGCTCTTATTTGTCTTAATGCAGCACAATAGTGAAAAAATGAATCTCATAAAACTGTGGTGTTCAGATCACTTGCTTGCATTAGAAACCTTTTCTAATTTTCCTTCTAGAGCTTTAAAGTTATTTCACAGGGATGGAATTAGAAAGAATTCTAAACACCTTAGAGAGCAAGAAAATTTAGAGCCTTCTTTCATTTGGTAGATGTTTTATGAGTGCTTATCTTATACTAGGTGCTGTGTTAGATTCAGGAAACAGTCCAAAAAAAGAAAAGACCCTGATTTTATGGTGTTAGCATGGAGTAGAGGTTTAGCATGAGGGTTAAAAGAAGAGAGAACTGAAATACATGTTACAGGATGGAAATAGGAAAGGACAATAAATGGGTAAACCAAAGAAGTGAAGGAGGTAATTTCCAGAGATTGACAGATACCATGAAAAAAATAGGATTATGATAGAACAGATTCTTCAGAGCTGGTGATAATAAGGAAAACCTCTAAAGAGATGACACTGGAGTGCAGGATACCCCAGTGAGAATTTCAGATAAATAGTGAATAATTTTGTTTGTTTCAAGTATTTACCTAATTTTTATATGCTAAGTCTGACGACTGTTCACTGAAGACAAGGCCTGAATAGTGAAGAGGAGCAAGCCGCATGGACTCTGGGGAAATGAGGCGGTGGAAGGCATTTCCAGCAAAGGCAGCAGCGGATGTGTGAGGGCGTGTGAGTTTGAGGAACGAAAAAGAAGGCTAGTACGGCTAGAGCATGATATGAGAGCTAGAGAGTCACGCTTAATCTTGTAAGGGGTTTGAATTTCATTATTTGTGGTGGGAGAGTTTTAAGACATGATCTTGTGTACATTTTGCAGTAAATGTTCTACTTGTATAGACAAAGGATTATAGGAAGACAAGAGTAAACCTAGAGAGAGGTTGGTTAGGAGGCATTTAGGGGCATTGTTGGTTACTGTAACTAGGTGGTAGCTGAGGAGGTAGAAAAAAGAATGGATTTGGGCTATGCTTTTGGTGTATGAAGGACTTAGAGTTCTGGTTTCTTTTTTTCCTTTTTTTTTTTTAGTGTATTTTTTTCTTTTTAATGTAATGGTTTCTTTTTTGATAAGAAGGAAGGAAACAAACAGTCACCTAAATTGCAAGACTGAAAAAACTGTAAAGACTTTTAAAATATTTTAAATGCTAGAATTAAACAAAAATAGTGCTTTGTTCTCAACATGTTTTAATTGGATTTGGTTGGATTCTTTTGAGCCCTTAAATGAATAAAAATTGTCACTAGTTATTGGTTAATTTGTTTCCAAAATGAGTTGGTAGTTTCTGAATATTCTGAATAAAAGTTTTAATCGTAATTATTATGTGCTTCTTGTGTTTTGCATAAATCTAGTAGTCTATTAAAGATTTAGAGCATTTATCAAAATTATCTACAGAATATCTATACTAAGCCCACAATGTTTCAGAATTTATGGCTGGAGCAGGGGTGTTGGGGGCAGGCTATGTCCTGAAGGAACCATCCCCTTTTTTTAGATAATTTATTTCATTTATTAAGTATATACTGAAATATTATGGGTTTGGTGGTAATAAAATTCCAAGAGTGCTTCTTGGAACCCCCAGACCTTGCTGGAGTTACTTTTTAGTCTTTTGAAAAATAAGATCCATTTAGCACATCAATAGTTTTTTTTTGCAGGAATAAATTATAGTTGTATTCTTTAAAGATGTATTCAAGAACTTAGATTCATTGTTTCTATTACATTTAATTCTTGGTGGCAAAAATAATAATAATAATAATAATAATTCTTTGTGGCAATATAGCCAGTTCTGTGATTATTATTTGTAGTCATACTATTTCTCTGTTATGTCTTCATTATGGTGAATATGTACTTCTGAACTATGCTACCTAGCTGTTTTATAGTAGTAATGATGTGCTTTTGGTATTTCTAAAATAACCTGTTATTCTTTGTAGCATCTTAAAAAGTAGCCATAGTTCTCAATTTTTAAAATAGGTCTGTAAGCATGTCTCCATGCTCTTGGAAAACATGACTTTTTTTTTTTTTTTAATCGAACCACATGTTTTATTTTTCTGAGCTCCGTATTATCTGAAGGTAGAAACACATTTTTAGCATATATACAAATACGATGTGTACTTCAGTGGGATTTCTTCAATCCCCATATTTTAGAGAAGGTACTAGAGCTCTTTCTGGAATATCTAGGTTTAAGTATATATGTCAGACTTAGTTATATTCTAAATATCTGAGGTTATCTGAATTCTGGTTGAGGATCTTTTTATTTTTTTTATTTTTTTATTACTAACATATAATGTATTATTTCCTTCAGGATACATGTCTGTGATTCATCTTTTTTTTTTTTTTTACTTTTTTAATGGTAATGTGGTGTTTGGATGTTCCTTTGACCTTAAATTGTTTCTAAATTAACATAATTTCTTTCTGTAATAACTGTTGTGGATATCCTTACAAAAAATTGAGTAGTATGAAATTCTTCTGGAATAAATAGAGTAATTTTGACCAGGGTGGGATAGTAGGGAGGAGTAAAGCTGGAAAGGGAGGACAGACCACAGAGTTTGAATTTATGCAAGTAGTAAAGAGCTATTAAAGATTTTGAGCACAGGAATGACATGGTTAAAATAATAGTTTTTAGGAAAGTTTCCCATTTCTTTGGTGGTCATTCATACCTCAGCTTTCTTTTAAGTTACATCTCAAACAATTTGAAGCAATTCCTCAGAGGAATAAAATAACCAGTTTGTTCTGAATTACATGAATACATGAAAAAGCATTTTTGTTTTATCCAGGTATGAAATGGTCATAACTTGCCATTGTTAATGGCATTTTCAGTTTCCCTTGCTATATTTGCAAAAATATGAGATTAGACAGCTTTAATATTTTACAGAAAAGGTTAGTAAGACTTTAATCTTGAGTCACAATTTTAGGTCTTCGCATATGTCATAGGTAGTTTTGGAGAAGAATTCTAGGTTACTAATTACATCTGGTGTCAAAAATGTCAGCAGCAGTTAAGTGTCTCCAGGCATTACATTACATATGACTGAATTTAATAACTCTAGGGAGAAGAATTCATTGTGTTCTTTAGGACTACATAAAAGATTACAGACTAGGATTTGATCATTTGCAATATATTGCAAATTGGGATAGAAAAAAAGAACATCATTAAAAAATAAGTGTGTGAAGGTATTTGATGAGTTTAGAAGCTATCTTTGTATAAATACAGTTTTCAGGCTTAAATTAATTTTTTAAATGTTGAAATTCATTCAGTGAAGAGAGCCACTAGTTTCAGTGAATATGTAGAATGAAAGAAACTTAAGTCTTTCCATATTTTAAATGTGTCTTTGAGTCTTTAAAGCATTATAATGTATCTTATGTTGCTGATAGTGGAAGATCATTAATAATAACAATAGATGAAAAAGCTTTAGGGGACACTTGGGTGGCTCAATGGGTTAAGCATCTGCCTTTGGCTCAGGTGACCTGGGATCCAGTCCCATGTTGGGCTGCCTGCTCAGCGGGGAGTCTGCATTCCTTCCTCCCTCTGCTTGTGCTCTGTCTCTCACTTTCTCTCTTCCTCAAATAAATAAATAAAATCTTTAAAAAAAAATAAAAAGAAAAGAAAAGCTTTAAGTTTGTAGTGTTTGCACAAGTGTTGGGAGGTGGAGATGGAACGGTCTTAATGCATTAGCTGCAAGTATTAGCAAAACCAAGTGAATAGTGGTTTAAGCAAGAAAAAGACTTGTCTTGTATGAGAAGCTGTGAGTTAGGATGGCAGCTCAGTGATACTCTAAGCACAGAGCCTTGGCTCTTAACTGGCTTCCTCCTCCATCACCCCTAGTGTGGGATTTTTATCCTCATAACTACAAGATGTCTAATGCACCCCTGGGTATCCACCTTTCAAGAAAAAAAGTGAGGTCGGGGCACATGGGTGGCTGTGTCAGTTAAGGTCATGATCTCAGGGTCCTGGGATCAAGCCCCACATCAGGCTCCCTGCTCAGGAGGGAGTCTGCTTCTCCCTCTCCCTCTGCTCCTCCTCTCTCTCTCACTCTCTCTCAAATAAATGAAATCTTTAAAGAAAAAAATCAAAAGCAGGGGTGAGGTCTAAAGCATGCCAAATGCACATGTCAGCTGGGTTTTGTCCTTTTTAAATGCTTTCCTGGATGGTCCCAGGGATCCACTTGTATCCATTGGCTAGAACTGAGTCACTCAGTGTCCCCAACAGCAAGGAACTACAGAGAATCACTTTAGTTTTTTAGGCTTTATAGAGTAGAAGGCACAGGTGAAGGTTATGAATGCAGTTTAGGAGCCCAGCCCACAGTCTTCTATCAGAAAATATTCAAATCTGTCTGAGGACTTATTTTTAAGGGAATTTTTCTTATATATTGGGATGTAAGTGAGTAATTGAAAAGAATATGGATTTCTTCCTGTTTTGAAATGGACAAATAAATAGAAAGGAATCTTCTGGGTCCCTGAATGTACAGTAGATGGGCAGAAGGGAGATACTGGAACAGTCGTGTGTTCAGTAAAAATGGAAGCACTTCATGTCTTATGGAACCCACTGTGCGGGTTCCCAAGGGAACTGTGGTTAAAGACATTAGGAGATGTCATGATATTTCAGATCTTCCTGAAAGATAAAAAGTAATAAATCCCTGAAGAGTATTTAGCTGACATTTGGGGAGAATCCATAAATGAGAATTTCGAACTCTTAATCAGAATGAGTATATTCAGAGGGGTTATATGGTGTCCACTGGCAACACACGGTTGGCAACTGCTATAAGAAAGGCTTTAGAGAGGGTCAGCCATACCACAGATTGTGAAGTCAGAAGAATTCACCTCCTAGATTCTAGATTTTATCTGTTTTGACCTGAGTGGT